ATTCATACACAGAGAAGGTCTGGACAAATCAGATTATATGCCAAGCTGGGTCAATCGAGGTGGGCTGCTCGGCTCTGAGAATGCAGGTTCAGCACCTTCTCTTGGATAGCTCCTGGTGCAGAATAAGTGACCAGCCAGTAAGCAGACACTCACCACTTTCCATTCCCTAGAAACAAATATCTTCTCCCATTAGAGCAGCTTCTTATGGTGCTGAATATCAGTTCAGCATGACATGCAAGGAACCATGCAGGACTCCAAGGAAAGACGACCTGGCCTCTGTCTCTTGCAAGCTCTCGTCCACCGACCCACTGGCCGACCAGCTTCCTGCCCCCAAACTCCATAAAATAACAGTTCTCGTCCAGGAACTGGCTCTCCCCCCTGCAGCATTCTGGGGCAGACCTCCTCATACAGGGGTCATTTCCTGCAGGAGCGCACAGGAGCGGAGCCCAGGGGGTGGGCACATGCAACAAGCCCCACCCCCTGCTCCCAGCAGCCCCAGGCCACGAGGAGCAAGAAGCCTTTCTTTCTTTCTTTCTTTCTTTCTTGGTTTTAACAACCTCCTTCTTCCCTTCTCTCTTTCTTTCCCTCCCTCTTTCCTTCTCTTTCTTCCCTTCTTTCCCTCCTTCTTTCCTTCTCTTTCTTTCCCTCCAGTTTGGTGTAGTGGTTAAGTGTGCGGACTCTAATCTGGAAGAACCGGGTTTGATTCCCCACTCGTCCACCTGCACCTGCTGATGTGACCTTGGGTCAGTCACAAGCTCTGGCACAGCTGTCCTTGAAAAAGATCAGTTTGTGTCAGAGTTCTCTCAGCCCCACCCACCTCACAGGGTGTTTGTTGTGGGGAGGGGAAGGGAAAGGAGTTTGTAAGCCACTCTGAGACTCCAAGTGAAGGGCGGGGTATAAATCCAATCTCTTCTCTTCTTCTTCTCTTTCTCTCCTTCTTTCCTTCTCTTTTTCCCCTCCCTCCCTCCTTCCTTCCTGCACAGATCTGCATGTCCCCCGTCCCCCCAGCTAGCAATCCAAAAGAGTTCAGTGGCACCTTTGAGGCTAAGGTTTATTCAGGTACAAGCTCTCCCTCCTCTGCTAGGGCACATCTGCGCGTCCCCCCCACCAATAGCTAGCAAGCCAAAACAGTGTGTGTTGCCTTCTGAGCAGTGTGTGTTGCCTTCGGACACACTTCCGGTGATGTCAGGGGGTGTGGCATATGCAAATAAGTTATGCTAATTAGCTCCTGCACCTCTTTTTCTACTAAATGACCCGTCCTCGTAACCTTGATGGATTTCTTGCCCTCAGATTACTGGTTGGGGATGGGGGGGGGGATGAGGAGGAGGCTAGGCCAAGGCCTACCTAAAGTTTGATAGCCTCCTCCCATCCAGCCCAGAGAAAGTTGAACCCGCACACAAGATGGCATTTCTTCACAAGGTGTTCCCGGACTCTCGCTCTTTTCTACTGCTGCAGACCAACCAATGCAGCTACCCATCTGGATCTCTGCTCACGGAGCGTCTATCTACCAGGGCCAAAGGTTTATACTGCAAGAGTTTAAAAGCAGTACGTTCCAGGAGATGGCATTGGGTCACAGATTCGGTCTTCATCTGCCCCGTGGCCATCTTTCCCCACTGTCAGTTTTGGCATTTTAATTTAATTTACTTTCTCACTGGGACTCACTGCCACAGGAAGTGGTGGGTGCTACAAGCATGGACGGCTTCAAAAGGGAATTAGATAAGCATATGGAGCAGAGGTCCATCAGTGGCTATTAGCCACAAGGTATAGCTAGGGGCTCTGGGGCAAGTGATGCTCTGTCTTCTTGGTGCTTGGGGGGGGTCAACAGTGGGAGGGCTTCTAATGTCCTGGCCCCACTGCTGGACCTCCTGATGGCACTGGTATTTCTGGCCACTGTGTGACACAGAGTGTTGGACTGGATGGGCCTTTGGCCTGATCCAACATTGGCGTCTCTTATGTTCTTATGACTCAAGGCAGATTACATAGAATATGTCTGTACAATCAGCAGAGTGGGACATCCGAAGGACAGTGCCATCGGATTTGACTCAGAGAGATCTGGAAACCAACCAGAGGTGAAGCACAGCAGAAGTATCAACATGACATTTCCCCCCACTCTCCCAAAAGACTAGAACTCGAGGGCTGATGGGCAGTAGGTTCAGGGCAGACAAAAGGAAATGCGACTTGACACAGAGAGGGACTAAAATGTGGAATTCACTGCCAGAGGAGGTAGCAATGGCCACAGGAATAGACAGCTTTCAAAGGGGATTAGACATATTCATGGAGGAGAGGTCTACCAGTGGCTGCTAGCCATGGTGGCTGAGGGGAACCTCCACATTCAGCGGCACGAATCCTCTGAATCACAGAACCAGGAGGCAACATCAGGGGAAGGCCTCGGCCTCTCTGCCCTGTTGCTGGCCCTTCAGAGGGAACTGGCTGGCTGGCTGTGTGTGACAGGATGCTGGACTAGATGGACCTTCACTGGTCTGTTCCAGCAGGGCTCTTCTGGTGTTCTTATGAGGGGAAGATCTCAGCCTCTGTGCCCTGTTGTTGGCCCTCAAGAGGAACTAGTTGGCTACTGTGTGAGGTAGGATGCTGGACCAGATGGACCACTGGTCTGAGCCAGCAGGGCTTTTCTTATGATCTGATTAAGGCCTCGGCCTCTCTGCCCTGTTGCTGGACCTTCAGAGGGAACTGGCTGGCCAGCTGTGTGAGACAGGGTGCTGGACTAGATGGACCACTGGTCTGATCCAGCAGGGCTCTTTTATGACTTGTTAGATGAAAGCAAAAAATATGTAGTAGGAATCAATATGTTCAGAATCAGTCCACCTCTGAGTACTAGTTGACAGGAGAGGGCTATTGTTAAGTCGCTCGCTTAACAAAGGAGTCGGAGAGTGATTCAGCAAGAACACAACTTTATTCTTCGACTCGAACACAACTCCAACACGGATCAACAACTGATAGCCAGAACAGCCTTTACATTGCAGCTGTCCTGCTTTTAAACATTCCCGGTTAATGTAGCCACACCCACTGTACAAATATCAACCTATGAGGTTGCCAAGATAAGGTCCAATCACATTCGTTCCCGCTCAGGGAGCTTGCATGAAGTGATTGGCTTGTTACTTCCTGGGCTCACAATTCTATTGGATGGATTTGGATCCTAGCCCAGGACGAAGCTCAACATTACAGTTTAGTTAGATGTTTCACAACATTGCATTCAAGGCAGCTTTGAATACATTACAGCTATTGCCTTCATACAAGAGCTCTGGAGGCAGAGACTCCATTTCGCTCTCCTTCTCTGTAATACCCCATCTGCCTTGACTTAGTCAAATTCTTTGTGTGTGGGGTGTGTGTGTAGGGGGTGTGTGGGGAATAGTTCTGAGCTACAGGTCATCCTCACATCCTGTGGTCACAAACTCCACATTCCTTGTTACGTGAAGGGCTTTTCTACACCGGGCTTGTGCTCCAGCTAGAAATGTAAAATTTCTGGAAATTTTGAAGCTTGGGAAAAAACCTGGTTTTTTTCCATTTTTTTTCCGGGGGAAACGGTAATTTTTGGAAAAATTGAAAAAAAACGCTACATTAGCACTTCTTTTTTCTTTTTCCAGATTGAAAGTCATTCTGTGACTTTAGGAACATAAAATATGACTATGGACATTTTTACTTGGCATGAAATTATCACAACTAGCATATTAAAAATATAGTGCATCCAAACAGTTATTACAAACAGAATACCCACCCACAGGCAAAAACAAAACTGAAGCCTTTTTCTTTTCTTGTGACAACAGCACCTCCTAAAGGAAGAGATGCATCTTCTTCTTGCATTGGAGAGTTCAGTTGGTAACCTAGGACTTGCTTGTCCTCAGTGCACAGAAATTAGATCAATCTGACACCATACATATTTTTTAGAAATGATTTGGAAAATATTTGAACACCTTGTCTTAAAATATTTTATTCATCATGTTAAAATAAAACGTTCCATCCATTTTGTTTTCTATTCTTTTTTCAATTTTTCCGAAAAAAACAACAAAAAAGGCTTCAGGGGAAAAAACGGGAAAAAACCCATGGTCCCCCCCCGAATTTTTCCATTTTTTTTTCCAGGCCTTCACATCTCTAGCTCCAGCTTGGCTCCGAAACTACATCGGTTTCCCCTGACATGCGGTTTTGCTGCTCTCCAGGTTTCTCATTTGAGTGTTTCCTGTGTTCTCTTTCTCAGACCACTTTTTTGGTGGTCTGGAAAAAAACCCGAAGAAAACTTTGGAGGGGGGGGAACAGGAGAGCAACAGGCAGCAAATGATACTGTGTGCATAAGAAGAAGAAGGAAAATGCCTTAAAGAAGCCAAACCGGAGCATAAGCTCTGCGTGGAAAGCCTGAAGATGCCTTTAGGACATCTGGTGTTTTTTTTAAAAAAAGAAGTTTTATTAATTTATTAATTTTCAGCATAGAAAGACACACATACAACAGAAAACATACATAATGTACACTCCAAAAAATGTTATGTATAAAGAGAATTTACATCTTTTTTGTAACGGAAAATAGATAAACTTTACAAAAAGAAAAAGAAAACATACAAAAAGAAAACAACACACAACCAAAAAACCCACAAAAATGGAGCATATACTCATAACTACTTAAATTTTACATAGGTAGAATCATTCTTTCATGCAGCCAAACTAGTTTAACTAGTTTAGCTTATAGCATAAAAAGTTATGTTGTACACCTTCTGAGCTATTCCTCAATCCGTTTATAAAACCTTGACCAGTTTTTCTCAACGATGTCTTCGTTTTTTCTCTTGTAATTGTAACGTTAATTTGTCCGTTTCCGCTGTTTCCATTAGTTCTTAAATTAGTTCTTCTTTTGATGGAGTTTCTTCTGGTTTGCCTTTAGGGTACCTGCTAACTGGAGGAGGTGTTTTGCTGTGACTGTGTGCAAACAACAGCCAGGCATGTGGGTTGCAACTCCCGGGCTCCTGCATCTGTGCAACATCTCTGCTCTCTCCTTGCAGGTCCCTTGCGCTCGGCCAACAGTACACCTCGCTGGGGTCACAGCCCATCCTGTGCGGTTCCATCCCCGGCCTGGTGCCCAAGCAACTTCGCTTCTGCCGGAACTACATTGAGATCATGCCCAGCGTGGCCGAGGGGGTGAAGCTGGGCATCCAGGAGTGCCAACACCAGTTCCGGGGGCGGCGCTGGAATTGCACCACCATCGAAGACAGCCTGGCCATTTTTGGGCCTGTTCTAGATAAAGGTACAGTGCACGTATTGGCTGCAAAGGCCCCCCCCCCCCGTTCGATCCCTGACAACTGAAGGGTCTGAAGGAGCAGAGTTTGTAGGGTTGCCAGATCTGGGTTGGAAAATACCTGGAGACTTTGGGGGAGGATCCAAGAGAGGGTGGGGGGTGGGGAGGGGAGGGGCCTCAGCATGGTCCAATGCCATAGAGTCCACCCTTCAAAGCAGCCATTTTCTCCAGGGGAGCTGATCTCTGTCAGCTGGAGATCAACTGTGAAAGCAGGAGATCCCCAGGCCCCACCTGGAGGCTGGCAACCTTAAGAGTTTGGAAGGACTCCTGCTTGGACCCTGGAGCAGAGTCATTGGACTCAATATAAGACACGAGTTTCATACAGAGTTGTACAGAAACTTTACAATCAAAAAGGTGGCAGAGCAGCTTTTAAACTGAATATTGGGGGAAAGCCGACAGGAGATGAAAAGTCTCTGGTTTGGGTTGGCTCATCTGAGAGAGGTGAGGGGGTACCGGTTGCTTTTCTACAGGGAGGTGGATTGAAATTGTCCACAGAGGCCATGGCTGGTGACATGGACTGCCGGACAACGACTCGAGATAGCAAGAGGAAGGATGCAGGCTTAACTTGTAAGGGAAATTACAGCTGTTTCTATACAAATGCTAGAAGTGTCCGAGGTAAAATCGGGGAGTTGGAGTGCTTGGTGTCGGAGGGAAAAATAGACATTGTGGGTATTTCTGAAACTTGGTGGGATGAGGAAAATCAGTGGGACACAGTGATTCCCGGTTATATATTATATCGGAAGGATAGGGGGGGAAGGGTTGGAGGTGGGGTAGCTCTGTATGTCAGAGAGGGTATAAAGTCTAGAAAGATTGAGAGGCTAAGTGAATTGGATTCGCTTCTGGAAGTTCTATGGGTTGAAATAGGGGGGCCAAAAGGAAACTTAACACTGGGAGTTTGTTATCGCCCACCAGATCAAAAGATAGAGGAGGATTATAAAATGATGAATGCCTTAAAGATAGCAACTAGACAAAAACACTGTGTAATAATAGGTGATTTTAACTACCCACACATTGATTGGGTCAATATGTGTTCTAGTCGGGAAAAAGAGATTGAGTTTCTAGACACTCTAAATGACTGTGCTATGGAGCAGATGGTCACGGAACCTACCAGGGGAGAGGCGATCCTTGATTTGGTCCTAAGTAACACTCAAGACCTGGTGAGAGATGTAAAAGTGATTGCACCGCTTGGAAACAGTGATCATAATGTTGTTGAGTTCATCATTTGTACAAATAGAGAATTGGCCAAAAAGACTCACACAACCATTTTTAACTTTAAAAGGGGTAATTTCTCTGATATGAGGGGACACGTGGGGAGGAAACTGAAAGGAAAAGTAGAAAGGGTCAAAACAATTGGGGAAGCTTGGGATCTATTTAAAACTACGATCCTAGAAGCTCAAAAAATATATATTCCGCAGGTTAGGAAAGGCACAAACAGGTATAGGAAAAAGCCTGCATGGTTAACAAACAGAGTAATGGAGGCTGTAAAAAGTAAAAAGAATTCCTTTAAGCAGTGGAAAGCTAGTCACAGTGAGGCTGATAAAACGGAACACAGGCTATGGCAAATAAAATGCAAGTCTGAGGTCAGGCAGGCAAAAAGGGAATATGAGGAGCATATAGCAAAAAACGTAAAAACCAACAATAAAACTTTCTTCAAATACATTAGAAACAGGAAACCAGCCAGGGAGGCAGTGGGGCCCTTGGACGACCAAGGGGTAAAAGGAGTATTGAAGGATGATAGGGAAATGGCTGAGAAGCTAAATGCATTTTTTGCCTCCGTCTTCACTGTGGAAGATGAGAAGTGCTTGCCCACTCCAGAACCACTGATTTCAGGAGGGGTGTTGGAAGACCTGAGTCAGATTGAGGTGATGAGAGAGGAGGTCCTAAAACTGATAGACAACTTAAAAACTGAAAAATCACCAGGCCCAGATGGCATACATCCGAGAGTTCTGAAAGAACTCAAATGTGAACTTGTAGATCTCCTGACAAAGATATGTAATCTTTCCTTAAAATCTGCCTCCATTCCTGAGGATTGGAAGGTAGCTAATGTCACTCCCATCTTTAAAAAGGGTTCCAGAGGAGATCCGGGAAATTACAGGCCAGTCAGTCTGACGTCGATACCGGGTAAATTGGTGGAAACCATTATTAAGGAAAGAATTAGTAGGCACATAGATGAACAAAACCTATTGAGGCAGACTCAGCACGGTTTCTGTAAGGGAAGATCTTGTCTCACTAACCTGTTAGTGTTCTTTGAGGGGGTGAACAAACATGTGGACAAGGGGGATCCAATAGATATTATTTACCTTGACTTCCAGAAAGCTTTTGATAAAGTTCCTCATCAAAGGCTCCTAAGTAAGCTCAAAAATCATGGGATAGAAGGACAAGTCCTTTTATGGATCAAAAACTGGCTAGTTCATAGAAAACAGAGAGTGAGTGTAGGTGGGCAATTTTCTCAGTGGAGGGTGGTAAGCAGTGGGGTACCGCAGGGATCAGTACTTGGTCCACTGCTTTTTAACTTGTTCATTAATGATTTGGAGATGGGAGTAAGCAGTGAAGTGGCTAAATTTGCGGATGATACAAAGTTGTTCAGGGTGGTGAAAACCAGTGAGGATTGTGAGGCACTCCAAGGGGATCTGTCAAGGATGGGCGAGTGGGCGTCAACATGGCAAATGGGGTTCAATGTGGCCAAGTGCAAGGTGATGCACATTGGAGCCAAAAATCCTAAATATAAATACACATTGATGGGGTCTGAACTGGCAGAGACTGAGCAAGAGAGAGATCTTGGAGTTGTAGTGGATAACTCACTGAAAGTGTCGAGACAGTGTGTGACTGCAATAAAGAAGGCCAATGCTATGCTGGGGATTATTAGGAAGGGTATTGAAAACAGATCAGCCAATATAATAATGCCCCTGTATAAATCAATGGTGAGACCTCATTTGGAATACTGTGTGCAGTTCTGGGCACCACACCTTAAAAAGGATATTATAGCTTTGGAAAAAGTGCAGAAAAGGGCAACTCGAATGATAAAAGGGTTGGAACACTTTCCCTATGAGGAAAGGTTAAAGCGCTTAGGGCTCTTTAGCTTGGAGAAAAGACGACTGAGGGGTGACATGATCGAGGTTTATAAGATTATGCATGGGAAAGAGCAGGTAAAGAAAGAGGTACTTTTCTCCCTTTCTCACAATACAAGAACTCGTGGGCACTCCATGAAACTGCAGAGCGGTCGGGTTAGAACGGATAAAAGGAAGTACTTCTTCACCCAAAGAGTGATTAACACATGGAATTCACTGCCACAGGAAGTGGTGGGTGCTACAAGCATGGACGGCTTCAAAAGGGAATTAGATAAGCATATGGAGCAGAGGTCCATCAGTGGCTATTAGCCACAAGGTATAGCTAGGGGCTCTGGGGCAAGTGATGCTCTGTCTTCTTGGTGCTTGGGGGGGGGTCAACAGTGGGAGGGCTTCTAATGTCCTGGCCCCACTGCTGGACCTCCTGATGGCACTGGTATTTCTGGCCACTGTGTGACACAGAGTGTTGGACTGGATGGGCCTTTGGCCTGATCCAACATTGGCGTCTCTTATGTTCTTATGTTCTTATGTACATAAATTGGATTCTGATTACTGAAATATAAATATAATTTTGACTTATCATTTTATATAGCATAAGACCCTGAAAGTCTTGCTGGTCTCTAAAGGGCTGCTTGACTCAGATCTCAATGCTCTAAAGTAGACAGACACGACTGCCCTCGGAAACGATTAAAAACCAAACAACGATGTTGAATATGAAGCTGCCGAAAATATAGATAGATAGATAGATGATAGATAGATGATAGATAGATAGATAGATAGATAGATAGATAGATAGATAGATAGATGATAGATAGAGAGGGGGGGATTTGTTTGATCATTCTGCCCAATTCTTATTTTAAAAACAACAAAGGAGATCACAAAGAGATTGTCCCACATGTGACCGAATGGGCAAATTGAAGGAGGGGGGGTGGTGCCCTGCATAAAAGTGTACTGCCAATGGGACTGACATCCTTTTGAGTTTCTTCTGCCTAAGAGCAGAGACCGGTGACCATTTGAGGAGGAGGAATTTGCACAGGTGGATTTGTTGTTGTTCAGTCGCACAGTCGAGTCCGACTCTTCGCGACCCCATGGATCATCTCCCGCCAGGCCCTCCTGTCTTCCGCCGTCCTCTGAAGTTGGCTCAATTTCATGTTCGTTGCATCGATGACACTGTCTAACCATCTCATCCTTTGCCGTCCCCATCTTCTTTGACCTTCAATCTTTCCCAGCATCAGGGTCTTCTCCAGGGAGTGCTCCCTTCTCATTTGGTGGCCAAAGTAGTTGAGCTTCAGTTTCATTATCTGGCCTTCCAGGGAACAGTCAGGGTTGATTTCTTTTAGGATTGACTGATTTGATCTTTTTGCAGTCCAAGGGACTCTCAAGGGACTTACAGGTGGATTTACTGATGTGTAATTTATTATATTACGGTCCATGACCAGATCCAGTTAAAAAACAAACATTATTCAGATATTAAAATATACAGATTAAGAACTCCAATTTAAATACAGGAATAGAAGATTTTACAAGTAAATAGATTTATATTATACTAGAAATAAGGCCCGTTGTGGAAATAAATACCACGAGCTCTAGAAAGAGTCTCTTGGAGAGTGCCAAGGCCTTGGGCACTCAGCGTCAATGTGCCATAGCGACCTCACCAGGGTATAATGACACAGAGTCCACCATTTTCGCCAGAGGAACTGATCTCTGCTACTTGAAGAGCAGTTGTAATTTTCAGTGATCTACAGCCCTCACCTTGAGATTGGCAACAATTGTTACTCAGGAGGAAATGTCTGGTTTGGAGGGTGGAGTCCATGGCATTGTACCTCTCTGAGGTCCCACCCCTCCTCAAACTTCACCTTCTCCAGGCTCCACCCCCCAAATCTC